AAACTCGACCTCTACCCACTTTATTAAAAAATCTTTTCCTACCATAGTCAAATAAAACCCCAACTATTATATACCATTCGATAGAGAATTTTACGAGCTACAAAATGGTATAAAAAACATAAAAAAACATGAAGATTACCTCACCTATTGCTACGATAAATAAGCGGAAATCGGCTCTGTTCTTGTCTACGCTCTAATTGAACCCCAATTCAAGCTCTATCTTTCGATCACAGAGGTGATACTTGACGATTTCCTGGCGTGGAGAACTGGAATCTGTACTTCAATTGCCTCGAAACTCTATTGGTTGAGCACTGACCAACAGAAATCAAGTCATAGGAAAAAAACGACTTTCTTAGGCTAAATCAAGGCAAAGAGTCCAAATCTAAGCTGTATTCACCCTCAAATTCTATTGATTGAGCACTAGTCAATAGAATTGAAGTGTTTATAGAGAAGGTTTGACAGGCTAATTTTTACATCCACATATTCTAGGATGACGGATTTATCTCATTCACTTTTCGAAGTACACATAACTCTCGGATTTAAATCCGAGGTTTTCACATTTATTTTAGTTTATTAATAAAATATATAGATCAAAGAAGGTGATGTCTCTCACGTCAAAGAAAGTAATTATCAAAAACCATCCACTAGATTATTTAAATCTTCTACAGACTATGTTTTTAAAGCTGCTTGGGACAAATAAATGATGAGAAATCTTTTTTATTGTCCGAAAAAAATAATTGTATTCATTTATTTTCACTAAAATATAAATTACATTCACAATTTTCATTTGCAAGTTAGCTATTATATATGTACAACTATTGACTTAAAACAAAATTTAAAATAATTTATTTTAAATTTCGATGAATCTCTTATTTTAAACATGCTATATTATGTAATGTAAAGAGCTTATATACAACATAATAAACATTATGAGAAAAGAAGAATGACCTGACGAATAGACCACTAGTAAATAATGAAAAAAATATGACAAGGAAAGAAAAATGCCATCGGTCATTCATTATCGTCTGATAATATGATATCAATATTTGACCTTCATTGTTCTCACAGACGATTATTGTATAAAATACAGACATGCATATATATAAATAAATATGAATACAATGTGAGTTAGAGATGAATATTTTAAATAACAAATGTTTAAATATTCATGATTTGCCCAATGAAATTTTATTCATTATTGCAAAGGAACTCAATATTGGTGACGTATATACACTTACTGATATTGACGAACGATTTGTTCAAATAGTACATGATCCACATTATATACGTAATATTCATAATCTTGATATGACTACTATAACAATGAAATCATTTTTTGATTATAATTTTTCAATGGATGATCGAGTTCTTTCAGATATATGTGGAAATATTTTACCTCAAATTCATTTATATATAACTAAACTTATTATAGAACAAAATTCAATAGAACGTATTCTTACTATTAATTATCCTCAGCTTTATTCATTATCACTTATTAATTTTGAAGAAAAAATACTTTTTCAATATTTAAAAGGTATATTATAAAAAGAATTAATTTTATTTTTAATAATAAAATAAAATAATAAAACAAATAAAATTTTAACTTTGTTTTCTATTATATTAAAGATCATTCAATTCTTCGTGATCTTCTTATTAATCAAATAACATATTTGAATATTGATATTCAAAATGGGATAATACCTCAATTATCTGAAATTACATCAAATATATTTGCATTAATTTTATCTTTAACGAAACGATTAATTTATTTGAATTTTTGTCATTTATTTTCTCATCGTAGAACTTGGATTTCGATTTATTATTTACCAGAAATAAGTCATATGTTTTCAAATCTAACTCAATTGAAAATTAATGTTGAAACTTTTTTTGATTGTCTTTATCTTCTTGATGGACGTCTTAATTCCTTATCCAAATTGATTATCAATGTAAGAGAATTTGAACTTCACCCTAAACCATCATATATAAACGGATGGGTAAATATTATTTTAATAATTATGTTCCCATAAAAATATGTTGCTAATTTTTTTTTTAATAGAAAAAACTTCCTAAATTGAAATACTTTTCATTTACTTTGAATACTTATGAA